TGATGCGACCAGATGTGCTTTGCTCTCTCCTATGTACATTCTACTAGCTTGCTTGTCACCATCTATGGCGCAGACAGCCACCTCAACGCAGAATTGCACTAGATGAAATTTCTTCACTGAAACACCACCAGTCTCCCTCTGGACTAGATTTTAAATAGAAGACTGCACTTCCCTAAATGATTAATATTTGACCAAATGATTCCATTTTACTCTGCAAGCAACTGCACTGTTTTTCCACTGTACCCACTGAATTCGGAAACAAGTTTCACTGGGCAAAAATCCCACACTTCATCCATTTTTCACTTCACTTTTTGCCTTTCAGGTGATTTCGAAAGCTGCCCCTCTGAGCCAGCCTTACTGCCAACAAATAATTTTCCCAGAGCAGACGCTCAGATGTAGTCTTTTTTATTTATTGGTTAAATTCATGGACATGCAAGGTCTGCATGAAGATGGAAACCCCAAAGACCAGCCACAACTCCAGTTGCTTTTGGCACGTGTTCCCAGGATGAGTGCCCCAGGCAAGTGCCCCAATGACCTTCAACTGAGCTACTCTTTGCTCACAGTTAAAGTAAATAGAATAGGGATTGCTGCCAAAGGTTCTTATAAAAATAGTTTAACCACACAAGACTCTCTTCTTACATGATCTTCACTAGTCAGTATAGGATTCAGTATTGCAGAAAACGAACAACCTCCCTGGGAACTGTATTTTCAGCTGCTACAACACACAAACTCTAATATGCACATTCAATTCTTCCCATAATTCATTAGGAACACAGAAGGGACATTATGCTTCAATGCTGTGGCAATTCACAGGTCCCTTAAGAAAACCGCTGCAAATATTACATTCCATTACATAAATCCTGAACCCTACCACGATGGACAAGAATTTAGTCTCTGACTTATCCTCCTTGTTATGAGAGGGAGAAATTATAAAAACTATCTCCTCAAGGTATACACAGGCCCGTGCTGGAATGCAAAGGTTTTGTTTTCCGAAAGAACAGTCTTTTCCACGAAGGAAAAGCGATCATTCTAATCTGTACTCACTCAGGATATGTGAACTCACTCGCTCTGTGCAGAATTATACAGTTACAGCTCAAACTGCGCAAGTGTCTGCAATTCCCAATGCAACTACGTAGAACTCAACCAACCACGTGTCTTTTGAATCAACTTGCCTAAAGATTCCAGACAAACTGGAAGCCAGAGACTAAACCAGGTACTGGGTCAGGGACTGTACCTTATACCGACAAGAGTCTTACTAAAACATTTTGACTTGTCAGTGGAAATCACTGCTGTGTAATGGAGCACAGCGTATTTTTGTCGACAGAACCAGTTCTCCACATCCTGTGTATAATTAATGCAGTTCTCTGGCTGGAGGCTTGGTAAATTCAGTAGACTATTGCTACTGGAAAGCACACATCAAAGTGGAAACCAAATAAAACTTTGATGACAAGACTCTTCCATTAAATAAAAAAAAAAAAATATAAAACCCTCTACTATTTTAGATTTTAAAAAAACCCCAAACCCAGAATGCAATGTTCTACTCACATTATAATGTAAGATACACTGTTTGCCTACTCAGAGACACTTAATCAATTTTCCATGTGAAACATTTCCATGCCAACCCCTAGTTTAATACCAGAGACTCAGAAGATGTAAGACAAGTACAGCAAGTCCATTTGAGCCAAATTCTTGCAGTTCACCCTCTTTGTGATGTCCCCCCAATACAACAGATACAAAGTTTATTTACCTTTATTCCAGGGAGTCCAGGAAGCCCAGGAAGACCTGGTTCACCCTACATGGGAAAATTACATAATATTACAGACATTATTCAGTTATGCTCACTATCCAGCGAACACCCCTGTAAATTGTGCAGGAAGATAAAAGAGCATGAATGACTGCTGGTCAGCTCCAGCAGGACCGATATTTTCAAAATATCTGACTGTCTTAAATGTACAATGAGTAAGAGTTGTGTTAAGAACTTAGGTATCTTCTGGGAACCTTGAATGTGAAGATGACACCCAGACTGAAAATCCATGTCAGGAAAGCCAAATATGAATTCTCCTTAGCCTTCAGCAAAAGGGAAGAAAACAAGCAGCACTGGTTCATTTTACACACTGTCATTTAAGTTCCATACTTACGACAGATGTTTAATTCTGTTCCATTCCCAACTCTGAGCTAGATATTGTGCTGTGTAACTGCCTGATTTAGCTACAAAGCAATTCAGAAGAGCTTAGTTTAAATTGCATGATTCAAGCAGGACTGCATAATTATAACTGGGCCATCAATTTTATGGAGCTATCCATAACATCATTTCAGAGCTTGCTATTTATCTATGAATATACACGGTGCCATGAAGGACAGTGGGAGTGTAACCTTTTACTGCTTTACCCAGAAAAGCCTTGCTTATTTAAAATTGCAATTAAAAGAGCTACAGAACTGCATTTGCAAGGGTAATTTTTTAACAGGTATTCAAAACTGAATGTATTAATTTTGAAATTAAGTTGAAATTAGTCTAAGACAAGAATGACAACATTCTCACAAATGGTCATTTTGAGATATCAGCAAAATGGAAAAATGTTGTCCAGGGAAATAAAGATGATGAAGAGGAAAAAAAGAGCAATAACATGTGAAGAAATCATTATTTTAAAGGCTGGAGATTTTATTTTAATATAGAGGTGGATTCTAACCAGCACTTTGGATCTGAATATTCCCTGAACTTTCTGGAAGCTTAGGTTTGAACTCTGAAGCCAACCCTTACCTTTATAACAAATTGAACTATATCCCAGATTTTGTACACTCCTGAGCTTTATAGAAATACAGATTTCAACTCTGTGGTTTGGGCTGATTCATACAGATTGTGCTATTAAAATATCTTACATGTCTGTGTAAACACATGCTTACATACATTCCTACACTCACATAAACACGTGTACACATACACAAACATAAACACATGTATACATAAGATAGATGTTCATCAAACTACTGTACCCAAAAACACTTCTTTGAGGTAGTAATATTGAATAGACTTGAAATGCTCATAACAAAATTACATTCTGCCACAAACTGAAAGACACAATAGACAGGCTGTAAATCACTTTACCAAATGGAGTGATTTTCAAGTGGTATAGAAGGATCTGATAACAGCATCTTTGTGCATTTCAGTTTCTCCAAAATTCTAACTGTTCAAATTGCCTAAAAGCACAGGAAAGATTCCAGTCTCAAAATATTAACTATAAAATCAGATAGAAGAACAGAGGCTAGGATGCCATTTTCAACAGACACTAATATTTTTTGGTATGCTCACTAACACTTCCTAAAGCAGAAAATGGGTTATCACTCTTGCAAAAGAATAATCCTTTAAAAGGCCTCTATTGCACTAACAAAACGTTAACTCCAAACATTTCTTGCGTGGCCATACATACAAAACTACAACCATGAACTTTTCTCATCTAATTGTGGAGACACTGTTTTTCACTTCTAAGCACAGCATTTGAATATTTATAACTGATAATACAATAGTATTGCTGCGGTAGGTCACTATTTAGTCTTGGGACAGAGGTAAGCCTCACAGACTCACACATAACAAGCAGAAAGAATCCAGCAAAGCCAGTTCAGAGTCACAATCTAAAACAATTAAAATGCCCCTCAAAGATACATTAAACAATGTGAAACACAAATAAATAAATCACTATTTCTTAACTACAAATGGTATTGTAGATGAATGCATAATATTTTCTTTTCTGGACTCTTCCTAAAATCTGAGTACACTTTATGGGAAGAATTATTTTTAAAGAAACCAAAGCTGTATACAAACTCTATTTCATAATGCTCAGCTTGGCACTGCAGGTCATCCTATCACCTCTGCACACAATCACACAATATGGCACAAAGCAGCCTTGTCAAACTGCCAAAATACTGTCTCATTTCATTTCATGTAAATAATATTCAGGTGGGCAACTCAATATATACCTGTCCTTAGAAGATGGATAAGGAACAACTAGAAGGAGAGGAAGAAAAGAAGATACAGGAAGGAAATAGGAATGGGACAAGTATTCAGGAAGAGGGAAAAGTATTCAGATGACATAGATGGCAGAGACATGCCTCTAGTTGAAAAAGAGCCCCCTCCAATCTCTGGTGGGGTAACAAGTCCCTGCTAAGCAGGGGTGCAGAGCAGCAGACGTGGGGCATCTGTCTGGAGAAGGTACGCTGCATAAGCGCATTACAGGAGCTGCTGGTTTGGGCTGGGACATGAACATGGTATAGTGGAAGCTTATGATGTGAATGGAAAGAACACACTAAGTCCCCCCTGGTGTGAACAAGAAGCTGAGATTACAGAAAGTTTGAACTGCGTACCCCTCACTCATCCATGCTGCCTAAATGAGATCGAACCTGAGTGCCCGGGGACTGAGATCGAGGAGCCTGCTGATAAATCACTGCCAGTTTTGCCTCCATGGCAGCCACCTAAAGACAGTACGAATCTCCACAGGCTCTTAAGTGCATTTTCTGGTTTATTACCCAAGCAAAGCATGCAATGCAGAATGCACACACTAAATGACTCCGTAGATTAGACAGCTTTAAACAACTTTGATTACCTCTCCTAATTAAAACTGTATTTTACTAAAGAACTGCATTTGCAACCATAATAGTCTTTGTTTAGTATCCTATAATTGATGACAGTTATAATTTTCAAACAAAAAGACTTAATTTCTTATTTATTTCTTATTTATATGTGGTTTGGGGTTTTGCTTAGTCATCAAAAGACCTCGAGTATTAGAAAACGGTGGTACTGCCATCCATTATATAGAATTTTAGTTCTTGATTGTCTGTCTGGAATATCTGCTACCTGAACTTGCAGTTGGACTCTGCTCCACTCTGGCAGCAGTGGCTAATTTTCAGTATTGTAAGAGGTAAGAATGGTACCAATGGCTCTCAAGGGAAACCAAATACTGCAATTCAAAAAATCTGGTTTTCTCATTGTGTCTTTGCTCTCCCTGCAGGACCTGCCTCCTACTCTCATGAAAGGGAGCTGAATGCACAGCATTTACTGTTTGATGTACTATGGATTCAAAGAGCAAATTCCCCAGCTTCAGATGGCCTCATGCAGCACAGAGTCATTATAACTCCTGCAGAACCTTTACTTGCAGAAGCAGCCTCAGCCACACAGCAGCCAGGGGCATTTCTTCCCCTGGAAGGAAGAACAGAGCAGCATTACCTGGTCTATGTCCTTCCAAACATACCACATGCCTCTGACAGTTTGATTCCCCTTACAGGAATATATGAAAGGGATTCTAGTCAATCCTTATTTTGTTCCCTAACAGGTACATGTGAAAAAAGATTCTAGTCAATACTTATTTTCTTCCTAATGAGATGTAATAATGTACCATAGTCTGAAGGTTAACAGTCAGTCAAACATGCAGGGTTAGCTTGTGATCACTGAAGGAACAGAGCCATTCTTTGTTAGTCTCACCAGCTGCAACTGCATAGGCTTTCAATACAAGAAGTGTGCTGTGGCTAGAAGGGAAGGTGGGTTAGTCGAATATCACTTTTCATGTTAATTAGTATCATCATTCCTGTGCTTTTTTAAAATACAAAATGAACATACACCAAATATGTACAGGCCTTGGCCAGCTAAACTGTACAGCCTTGGGCTAATCTGAGTACAGGGGCCAGGGGTAACATTGATGTAACATCATTTATCACAAATCCAACAGAAAAGGAAAACTGAACAATTCCAAGTAATACCTTTTGTCCAGGCCGTCCGGATTCACCAGGTTCACCCTAAAGGAAACAGATGAAAGATGAGATCTGAATAAATGAATTAAAGATAAAGATGTAGAAAACCATAACATTAATGATATCCACAGTGTCTGTGACACTGCAAAGTAACATGGACCAACCACCCCTCTTCTACCTTCACAACTGCTTTAAAAGCACATACCTTGATTCCTGCAGCAGAAGAACCAGGGTCACCCTGATACAAAATCCACAAGAAATAATCACACTTATTACATATACAGTTTTCCAGGAAACACTTATAACAAATCATGTAAGACTATGGTAACATTATATGGCAAAATAACTATACAGCAAGATTACCTGTTCTTCATGCGGCTACACAGGAATTTAACTAATGAATTCAATCAGCGTGACTCAGAAAAGGAACAGTATTGTTGTCAAGATCATGCAGAGAGATTTAGTTTCACTCACCCAAACAGTGTAACAGTTAACCTCAAATTTTACAACTAATAATGTAGACATAGTAATTGCAGATTTTGTATAAATGCACTTCACAAAGCCAGAAGAAGGGACATACTTTGACATCTCTAAATTGCTGATCTACATTAAAATAATTTACTGCTATTTGAAAAGAATATGAGAAATGATTTTGACCTAATTCTACAGAGGGCAAGTGTCAGGTCTCAACTGACAAAATTTTTTGTGCTAATGAAGACTCACCTTCAAAAAAAGCCCCAGTGACTTATGAGTTTATCTCCATCAGGGCTGGTCATAGCTCTATTTCCTCAGCACTTTAGCTGAAGAAATATATTTTAACTGATAGATCAATGCAGTGATGTGTTATACCTTACAGGATGAGCTAGCTACGGTAATTTACATATTCAAGAAAGGTCTCTGTTCTGAGGAGGCATTTAGAATTCAAAAAGATTTGCCTGTGTTTCACTGAGTTGACTGGATTTGATAGGCAGTGATAAGTATAAGGACAGAGGATCAGTGAGTGACTGGGCCAAGGAAGCCTTTAGCTTCCAGTTTTCTACAATTGTCACAGGATACTTAAAATTCTTGTACACTCAATTAGTTGTTTTCTTTTCCTTAAACAACACGCTGAAGAAAAAAGAAAAAAAATACTGAAAGGTTTTCTAGTCAAACTATATACTACTGAAGATGGCTAGAGTACTATATATTTGAAAATAAATTTGAAAAATTGTTTCCTTATTCAAAATAAATGTACATCATTTGCTGGAAGTAACAAGTTGCTACACAGCAGAAATATCAAGCTCCCCCACAGCCTGCTAGTGATTTACATAGGTAGAATAGAAGTCAGTACTGTAATGCACTTTGAAGATGCATAAGCAAAATATAAATGCTTAATATTCTTTGTGCTAAAATACAAATAGGGATACCCATTCCTGATGTTTCAGTGAAGCTGCAGGAAGCATTCTGTAAATGCCGCTGCTTTAAAGTTGGTTTGGGTATGGAGTCTCTTTGGTATTATCTTACAAAATTAAACAGTACCAGTTTATGTGCTCATTGTCCTTTAAAGAACAGGAGTAACAGCTACTGCAGCTTGCTCTTGTGTGAAGAAAACACAAAAATCAGTATTATGAAGGGCTGATACATGCATGGAAACCTGAGCTGCCTCATTTTGATAGACACGCATGAGTGATACTGCTAATATCCCTTACAAGCATGTACAACTGGAAGCCTCAAGGACTTTTTATAGCTATGAAGTGACAAAGCAACTGGTAAGACACATTAGCCAGTTAAACATTTTAAAGGGTAATGATGGATACAGAGAAGATAAGACACAAAATGGTTACAAGCCATCTTCATGCAAGAATAAAAATTAGTATCAGATTAAAGAAAAAATTGCAGTACAGCATGTTCTCAATTCACTGATAAGTCAAACAGTCCATGAATGAAGAAAATTTAGCAGGTGAACACGTGAAAGGAAGGAATATATTTGGTAGTTTCTAGGGACCAAGGCTACAGTGGAAGAATACCGAAATCAAGTTTGGCATTAAGACTGTCTTCAAAGTAGGACAATTCAACAAAGACACTTTAATTCTAAAGTCTCAGGTCAAGAATAAAGCACTCAAGTCCACATTTCTGCGAGTCACTAGGTACAGTGGTTGAGAAAACAAAACTACATTAATTGCACAAACAGGAACCTGCTCCTAAAGCAAGTCTGAAACTGTTGTCACCTGGTATCTCTCTCTCTCACCATATAAATAAAATTTAGTGTTTATCTCACAGAAACATTATTTAAGCCTTTAAAGAAATGCTTTTAATTTTTGTGAACTATGGATTAAATCTCTTAAGCATATGTGTAGCATTATGATCTACTGTAATGTTCTGTGCATTTATTTATCTAAAATTAATGCTGTTTACTGAGCAAGAAGGGTCTGTACATGTATGTGGCTGAACACCTGAGAACTGAGTGGATACCAGACTTATCTCATCTCTGAATACATCCAGTAGCTCTCTTACAAACTCACTTTAAAAAGAGTCTTATTAAGTCTTATAATACAGACAAAAATACAAATAAAAAAGAAATATAGGAAAAAAGTCAAGTCTACTTCTTGAGCATATTTATTAAATGTGTCTGAAATAGTCACTCTGATTTCCTCTACCACTTAAATGATTAGCAATTTCTGGGTAAACTCATGCTGAATTACACATGATGATCATTGAGCAAAAACCTTCTCCTATGCTGAAGAACAGGAAAGAATAAAAACCCTGTTAAGTAGCTCAAGTGTACTGTAATGACACCAAGTTTAATACTTACTCCTAAATTATCTGTCAAAACCCACCTCCTAAGCTCTCTAGAAAGTGCTGTTTGCAGAGTTGTCTATCGGGAACTTTAAGCTGCAGCTCTCCTATAAGAACTGTTTTGTTTTTTGTTTTTTTTTCTGGGTGGCAGACTGTCTTGTAGGCAGGGAAAATGGAGGAAAAATAATGAAAATCAACAAAGTCACAATTCTGTTAAGTCCTGCAAAAATTAATGCAGAGGATTCTAATCTGTTGTAGTTAAAGCAATGCACTCCAAACAAACAGAATATATTTCCATGTCACCACTGCACCTCTGAAACTCATATGAAACCCAGAAGAGATGGGAGACTTCTGCATTATGAAGGTCAACAGGTTTATTGAAATTTCTTCAGATACGGCAATATCAGAAGTCTCACGATGACCTATATTTTCCACAAGTTGGTCCCACTTAGACTGTCAAACTGCTGAAAGCTCACACAGAAATATTTAAAACTTTATACTTGGGCAGAAACAGGGAGATGTGCACACTGCTAATCAAAGAGTAGTATGGGCATTCTAGGAGATGCAAGTTCACTCTCAGAATTGATAAAGTAGAAAATCAACAAGTGAAGCAGCACTAGGCTTCCCAGAGAGATTATTAACTTCCCATTTACTTGCTGCAGAACTATCTACCTGAACAACAATCTTGTACTTCTAACAGATTATATTCTTAAACCACATAAAAGTGGATCAAGATTATGTTACTGGTATACACTGTATAACTAACTAAGGTTCTTAAGACTTTCATCTGGGTTAATAAGCATGACTGCAGATAAAGTATTATTTAAATGAACTTCGAAAATCAAATAACTTGACTATTGTTAAATCTGATGTCTGTTTTTAATTGCTGACTTTAGAATATACCCCAAAAAATCCTTGTGCTCTTCAAAGTGTAGTTTTACTGTATCCAAAGGTCCTGAGGGATTTGCACGCATTCCTTACCAGCTTGATAAATCCATCATAAATTTCTCCTTGCACTGAACTAATGTGAGGTGGTTAAGCATTACATATGTGAGGGTACAAGAAAAAATTTCTATGTTTCTGTCGAAGTGCAGTCACTAAAGTAAATGTTTTTAGAAGCATATGAATTCAAAAGTGATGGCCAGAATAGATCAGTATGTCTGACCCTTTCTCCTGTGCAACACACACTTTACCCTGACTGCTAAAGACTATGACTTGTTTAAGCAAACCACATTGAAAACCCATGTTAATTTTTTTTTTCAGTGATACAGCACAAGTCTCACATGTGCTAAAATGAAACTAAGGAAAATAAAAATTTTGACAAAGTCTATTCTTTAGTGATTTCTACAACATCTTGGTACTTTGCAACAATGAACCAGCAGGGTATCAAGTGAGGTTATTATCGCTGTCACTTGGAATACAGATTTAAAGTGTGTTTTTATCTTCAACTCCTGATTGTCCAGCAGCCAATTTTGGAGGGAAATTACCTATCACAATACCATAATTTTTGTACTTATTCGTTTGGTCCCTTCTCTTTGAGGGAAACACAGAAGGGGAAAAATTAAAGGGTATATCAGAAATGGCTACAACTCAACAGACCTAATTCCAACTGACAGGCTGTGACCAAAGCTCCTGTATGATGCAAATTTCAGCGAAGAGTTAGAACATGCTGATGTATTCTGTACTAAACTACTGTTGTTTAAAATCAGAAATCTTCAGCTTAGTTGGACAGAACAGTGACAATTTTTCATCTGTTTATAAAAATGAACTCAGTCGAATCATTCATCTTTAAAAAAACCGTCAGCTTAAAATGCATTTTTCTTTTGATCAAATTATTATTTTCATTAGCTCATTATATTGTAAGCATGCCTAAAGCACAGATTTTCTTCTCTGCTAATAAGCAGTGTACCTTTTCTCCCGTGTCACCCTTCAGTCCATTTTCTCCAGCGTCCCCCTATAATCAAAATACATATTATATTTTAATGATTTTATGTAAGCATACAACATGCAGAGAAGAGCCAGCACTCCAACATGATTAGCAAGTTGATTTTGTTAACCAGGCAGTCAGCCTCTTTGTGACATTGTCAGGAAGTGTCTATGTCTTATACAGACCTCACTACAACCATGATCTCTTTCACGATCAAACTATCAAATAACAACCTGTCAGTATAATCTACCAATTTTCTAAGTTCACTGCAGTTTAGCGATGAAGGAATGATTTAATGATTTCATGATGATTCAGCATTTTAAATTGCCAATCCTTTTTTTTTTTCCCAACACAGAGACATTCATCTAAATGCATCTAATAAAATTCAGATGACAGTTACCCAATTCCAACACTTTTTATCAGGATTCTCAAGTAATTTATGGTATATACTCTCTGAGTTTGAAGTCCTTCTCAAATGATTCACCAACTAAAAAAATGCACTGAATGTCACTCCTCCAAGGAGCTACCAAAATGACTGTTATCTCTACATAAATTCCATGCATTGCTTTTTGTTAAAAAAGTGATGTTCAGATAACACTTTATCATGGCTGAGTAGACATTTTCTACTTTTAAAAAACCCCAACTTTTTAAAGAAAAATTTCAAAAGATTTATCTAGAAAAAGACCTAATTTCCACTTACAGTCATATAGCCATATAAGAAGTCCAGACTACACCAAATAGTCGATGTTGTGTGTTAGACTATAGGTCAAGAACTCCTGTGGGACTTGAAGTTCACGTGAAGTGCAAGAAATATTTAAAATGCCAAAAATATTGATAAATACTGAGTCTAAGTAGGCTAAAAAAACATTCCTATTCTTGGTCAGATAACCAGTAGTGTATTCAAATAGCAGTATTTATTTAGCATCTGTCATATTGTTCTAAAAACCTTAAAGTGAAATTTCATTCAGAAGGACTTATTACAGAAAGCAATTTGTATATCACAGTCACTGACAGAATGGGAACTAGGTAACAATCTAGCAGCACTTTAATTAAGGGCTCAATGAAACATAGAACAGCAACTCTTAGGAATGTCATCCCAAGTTCATTTGACATGATAAAGCACATTGAGGGCATTTGTAATTACACTTTTAGGAAAAGACAAAGGGTAATTATGGAAAAATACAATGATTTTAAGTAACAGAAATTCAGTATATGTTAAAATTAATTGTTATTCCTTTTGTGTCTGAAAACAAACATAGGATTAGTGAAGCACTTCAACAAATATAATTAGAAGAAATTATTTCATGAAAAAAGATTCCCAGTTACATACTTCTATATGTGGGGTATAGACTTCCAAGATTTCCCTGGATTATTTTATTATATGCTTTTCAAAATGTGAAATGAATTGGATTTACAGACATCTGGAAGTGAAATTCAATTGTAGCTGCAAAGACATTGGTAAACATTTCTCAAGAGTAAATTGCACCTCCATACAAGCAACTTATTTTTTAAAAACATGGCTCCGTGTACTTAAGAACATGAGGCCATGTACAGATTCCTACTCAGAATAAGGATTATGCCTTATTCTCAATCTGCCCCTGTCTACAGATGCAGAAACTCACTCTAACTCAGTGTGTACATGGATGCTCCACCCCAAAAGAGCAGAATTATACTCCTGTTTTGCAGCATGGAGCTTGTTCCAGCCCCTTGTCTTGTCTTGGTGTGACTGTGGACATCAGAGAAGTAATTCCTCACTAACTCTCTGCAAGTCAGAGCATAATCAGTGTAACATTTGTGCTGCTGGTACCTCTTCAGACAGTCTACAGCCCAAGATCATGGGGGCAGATTCCCTTGCTCTTCCTTAAATTGATTCAAATACGAATGGAGAATTGCACTTTCAGTGTGTGGAGAACCGGTTACCCAGATATCATTTAGAGTCTATGTAGCTATCACTCTTGTTACCTAATCATTTCATTCCACACAGATGTCAGAGCACTAAAACCAAGTTATGAGAAATGTGTGGATCTCTATTCAGACAGGCTCATCATTTTCTGAGACTAACCATAGTGAGGATTAGTTGCATGGTTGCTCAGCTCAGCAGCCTTTAACACATGAGCTTTTAACGCACTGCTCTCTGTGATTAATCCCACTGCAGTAATCACAGATTAATAACTTCCATTAGTAGGTATTGTCTGACACTTCTAAAGGCTGCTCAATGACTCTCAAGTTCTAGGTACTAGCTGTGTTTTTTTCTTTTTAAACTTGGAGTCAGTGCACTGGCAATTCTCCAGGCAGTTATGCAAAACAGAACCACCACAAAGGAAGTGGAACATGTCTCACCTTTTCTCCTCTTTCTCCAGGGTCACCCTGATGAAAATAATTGAAGCAAAGAAGTCATAAGTTACTAACTCAAAGAAAAATTAAAGTGTTAGTATTACTACCATTAGTATGTCAATTACTAGCCCTTATGTCACTACTGATGACAATGCCTCAGATGATAAAATCCAACAGAAAAATCTCCAATAAACAATAGAATATGTAAATGTAATAGACCTCAATGGACAATACAATTTAAACATAATTTTAAAAGCTTAATGATTTGCATGTAAAAACTTCCCTCCCTCCTCTTTTGTCCCAGATTAAACACTGACAAACAGGTGTATGTCTTCGAGAGGTGGCCTGTGAGGATGTAGGTAATTCCTACATTTGGTTTTCCTTATGTTGGGAATGAACAAGGGAAAACCCCGAAGTCTGAATGTGAAGGGAAAGTCTTAACCGTTTTAAACTAATTCCTACATTTGTTTCAGAGTAAAGAGGCTTCAGTGCTCCTTACATTCTCTGTAACAATCTCTGTAAC